TTATCCACTCACTCTGAAAAGAGCAGTTAATAAAAGGAAGTTCCCATTAATAGCCCTGAGAGCAGCTTCCCCTGGAACAGCAATGCTCAATCCACCAGGTCCCCCCCCCTCCTTCCTCTCTCTCTCTCCCCCTCTTCTCCATCTTCTTCCTCTCTTCTCCATCTTCTTCCCATCCTCACCTCACCAAAGGCTTAGGGGACTTTCTTGAGGCTGCTGGAAGGAAAATACAGGGTAATTTGACTCTGCAGCAACCTGGAACAATGTCTAAGCAAGCATGGGAGTGTGGGAAGTGCCTCAGCTCTGGTAAGGAGGAACTTGCTGGGGGTTTGTCTCAGTAATCCCTGCTGATCAAAGGCAGAGCTTCTCCAAGCCTCTTCCAGGCACCTGACTCTTGATTTTGCTGGAGATAGAGCAGATTCAGCTGCAAATTTGTCTTTCACCTGCTCTCAGCTCTGGAGTTTCTTCAGGCAGCTCAACCAGCTCAACCTCAGCCCCACCAGATGCAGCTCCCACTCCTGGCAGGACCTCAGCCAAAGGCTCCTCCATCCCAAGTCTTAGAAATCCTGGTCCTCCCTGCTGGATGAGGGTTCCCAGGCAGCTGGAAATGAGGAGGGAGGGAAGTTCACCAAAGGTTGTGGTAATAGTAAGTCAAGGGCAAAACGTGGCTCAGCAGCTGCTCAATGATTCATGTCTTGTTTCAGCCCATCCCTTCAGAATCCCAAACTGGTTTGGGTTGGAAGGGACCTTCTGCTTGGAGCAGCCTGGGCTGCTGGGAGGTGTCCCTGCCCATGCAGGGGTTGGATCTAGATGATCTTGAAGGTCCCTTCCAACCCAAACCAGTCTGGGATTCTATGACCTTTTCTGAGCTCCTTCTTCCCAGACTCTTTCTTTTTTAGACAAATAAGAGAAACTAAGCAAATTTGCAGCAGGAACTCAGTTCCCAAAGTGCCTTCACTGCTTGACATGATACCCTGGTCGTTAATATTTGGCCAAATGCTGGGACAGCAACCATGGTGCCAGCTCATCCCCTTGCCATGAGTTCCTGTGTCCTGGCTGTGTAGGCATCAGACTTTATCTACCTCATTCTGCTCCTAGAAAACCCAAGTTAAACCAAAGGAAAACCCTTGGTCTGCCCTCATCTTCTGAGACAGCTGGGGGGAGAGTCCAGGACTGAAGAGCAGAAAATTGAAGGTGATGAGAATCCAAATTAAAATTGCAACCAAGCTGTGGGTGAAGAAATCCTGAAAAGATGATTCTGGTACTTATTATTACTCGACCTGGACAGGGAGGATTGATGGGTTTGCTAAAAAAAGAAACAACCCACAATCTAGAATAAATCAAAAAGCATTTGTCAAGCTCCAGTCAAAACCTACAAGTGGTAGGTCCTGCCCTGGTCCTCTCCAGTCCCTGCTTGGTGTGGAGGTTTCTGCTGTGACCAAGGGCTGTTTGTCCTTAGCTGGGTGGCTGAAGCCTCCCTGCCTGGTTTGGCACCTTCCCCAAGCCAAGCCCAGCTCTCCTGCTGCAGGTGGGCACGTCCAGCCTTCAGGAGTGACACAGAGATGTCCAAATCCCACCCTCAGGAACAAATAATCCACTAAGGAGTTAGGCTGGGACCTCCCATGGAAGGTGCAAACCTTTGGGAAGTGGCTGCAGGAGGCAGGGAGGAGCCACAGGGATGGGCTGGGATGCTCTGAGCAGCCTGAAGGAGCCCAGCCCAAGCCCTTCCCCTTCTCCTGGCCAACTTCTTCTGAGAAGCAGCTGGGAAAAGGCAGGGACAGCCTTTTCCATCAGCCCTGCAGCATTTTGTGGCTCCTTCCAGCAGTCCCAGGGGCTTGTTTTTAGCTCCCGAGGTTGCTGAAATACCACCCTGATGGTCATTATTAAGGAAAAGCTCATCAGATAGAAACTGCAAGGTAGGGGGGGAGAGGCTGGGGGGGCTGTTTTGTTTTGCTTTATTTAATTGCTGGCTTCAGCAGAGAGGCAGAACGTGGCAGGAGGCCCAGCTCCTCTCACCTTGGGAAAGCAGGAGCACCGGACCCGGGGGAGGTGGGAAGGGAAAAGTCAATCAGGCAGTATTTAAAAATCCACCTGCTGGGCCCAGGAAGGGGTTGTGTGTGGAGATTTTAATGTCATGCCCAGCTTGAGATGCAGCCTGGAGAGGGAGAAAAGCAAGGGGGGGTATCTTCTCTTCTTGGATCCTTAATTGCTCGTTAAATCCCCCACGGAAGGGCCGAGCTCCGGGCTGGCCCCACGCTCCTCAGCAGAGGGGCTGCATCCTTGGCAGGGGGCAGGAGGGCTTTTAAAAACACTCCTTTCGTTGGCTTTTTCTGGCTCTATAAAAAGGAGAGTTCAGTGGTTCACTCTGCAACATAAAACCAAGTTTGGAATATCTGTGTTGCCATTCCGCAGGAGCAATCAATCCCCTAGGAGCTGTTGTCCTGCCTGGCCCTGGTCCTGCAGGCAGCAGGACAGGAAACCTCTCCCAGCCCCAAAAGGGACCTCTTGGGACTGCAGAGGAGCACGGACCAAAAGAACCCCCTGCCCTGTGAGCTCAGCCCCATTTCTGGCCCAAACAGACTTGCTAACCACAGTGGGAGATCACAGTGTCGTTCTGGCTGGAAAAGACCTTCAAGATCATCAAGTCCAACCACTGCCCTAACTCTGCCACGTCCACCACTAAACCCTGTCCCCTGTCTGGTTTAGATGTCACCAGGGGTGGTGGCTCCACCACCTCCTTGGGCAGCCTGGATCACCAAGTCCAACTCCCACCCCAGAACAGGACAACCCCAAAGTTCTCACGGTGTCCCCATGGCAGCTGGAGAGCTTCAGATGTCCTTTGCCATCACAGACAGATGGACAGAGCTGGCATGTACATATCTAACCCCCTCCCAGAAGTCAGGTTAACATAGGAGAGCCCTCCTCCCTACCTGCTCTCCCTGCACCAGCCAGGCACAAGTAACTTCAGCCCTGAGCAGAGTGGCCACTGCCAGGTTTTGTGGCACTTGGAGGCAGTGGAAGGAGCAGAGTTACAGCTCCAGCAGGGCAGGCAAACCCTGCTGGTGGTCTGTCAACATTTCACTGAGCTCACAACCAACTCCAGGCAGGAACCCAAGCTTTGGGAATTCACTCTTGAAGGTTCTTCATTTGTCTTGGCTTTGGGGTGGGAGTCGCCAGTAGCATTTCTCCAGGAGGAGCAGGGCCTGGGCAGAGGGCTGGGAGGATCCCTCAGCCCTGACATGGGAGGGTTTCTGCAGGAAAAGACCTTCTGTTCATCAAGAGTTCAAAGCACAGAGACTCCCATCCCGTTCAGCTTTGTGGGATGGTGTCTCCATAGGGTACTGAGGCTTCTCCAGCCTCTAGAGACTCAGGGGGACTTGACGGGGTCAGGAGTCTGGGGACATGGTGGGGGACACCCCCTGACTGCACAGCAAGAATTGGGGTGTCCTGCATGGGAAGCCTCAGGCACTACAGGCTGCCCCAGTGGGGCTGAACTCAGCTCTTCCAAGCACGTCTAGACATTCCCCTCCCAAACCTGAGCCACCCTCCAGACCCCAGCGGTGGCAGGATGTTACCCTGCAGGAAAAGTGACTGGTCCAGCAAATCACATGCCTCTCCCCAAAAGAGCTGCCATCTGACAGTGCCCAGCTGGCCCTGCCATCCCCCTGCTCCCTGGGACATCCCTCTCCCTCTGCCACCAGGCACCAGGGCCAGGCAGGGGGGGCTGTGCCAGCAGGAACCAGCCCCCCCAGCAGGGGCTCCTGGCAGAGAACCAGGCTGCAGGAGGGGCAAGAAACCAGCAGCTGAACAAAAGCATTTCTGGAGCTTTGCTGCTGCCCTTGCTGGTGCAAACAGCCCCTCCTGCAGCTGGGCTGTACCCCGGGTGGGCACGAGGATCCCTGCTGGGTACAGGTCGCTTTGCTGGGTACAATTCATGGAGGGTGTGTGTGCTATTCCTAGTGAGCATTTGTACAGCTCATGGTGGACGTTTGTACAACTCACAGTGTGCATTTGTGCAATTCCTAGTGAACATTTGTGCAATTCCTGGTGAACATTTGTGCAATATGAATTCCCCTCTGTCCCCAATAAGCTACACACACACACCCACACACACCCACACCCACACACACCTGGTTTGTCTGCTGAACACAAACGTTTGCTGACCTGAGGTGGGTGGCACTGTGCAATTCCTAGTGAACATTTGTGCAATTCCTAGTGAACATTTGTGCAATTCCTAGTGAACATTTGTGCAATTCCTAGTGAACATTTGTGCAATTCCTAGTGAACATTTGTGCAATTCCTAGTGAACATTTGTGCAATTCCTAGTG